ACTCAGAGTGGTTTGAGGGAGTGGCAAATCATGAAATGGAGCTGAGTGTCTGTCATCCATCGTAACAGGAGAGATCAGATGGAAACTAGATACTGAGAAGAGAGGGTGTTTCTGTTTTGCATAAGGGCATTTTGATTTTATTAGGAAGATAAAGAGAGTTGTGGGATTTGGAACTGGAAAGTGGCCTAATCAAAGCTGAACCTTTGGAGAAAATGGGGACTCAAGGGGGTGTCTCGGGGGGTGGAGAGACCAGCGAAGTGGCTGTTGCGTACCTCAGCCTGGAGAGCAATTGCAAGGCTCGGCAGGGCCTTGAGCGCCCTCTAGATGTGGGAATGAAGCGAAGAAGGGGTAAAGACGGACAGACGTGCTGTGCTCGGGTGACAAGAATGCTAGAGGCATCACAGAAATGCGAGGGACAGAAAGAGGAGGGGCTTTGGGGAAAGGATGTGTTCAGTTCAGAATTCACCGCATTTGATGTGCCAGGGGAATGAACTGCAGTATGGCATTCCAGAGCTCCAGGAGTTTCTAAAACCACCTCCACTGACTGCTTTCGAGATTTTCAGCTGTTCGTGTAACAGGACAAGTTAGTAAGAAATATCGGGCCCTTCCACAAATATTGATATTGCCATCTATTTCTCTGATCCCTGAAAAGAGAAGGCAACTTTGTGCTTCTAGAAGCCCACTGAGAGCAATTCTATGGGATTGCCCAAATTAAAAGGGATGCAGGGAAGTCCCCCAAAGAGGAGGAGCCACAAAGGGGCGGGGCGTCCCCCAAAGAGAAGGAGCGACAAAGGGTTGGGGGGGCTGCTGAGGATGGAACCTGGGATTGGTGGCCCCTTACCTGCAGTGTTCAAAAGGAATTGCTACTAGAAGTACCTACATAGGTGGCACCAGGTCACCAGGCTCGTAAATAGCCCGACATCTCAAGCTTGACTCCGGTGCTGGCCGGATAGCAAGGACACAGCATGCTGCTCTGTGGTTTGTGCAGAGAAGAGAGGGCCTGTGTGAGGCTATGGGGCTGAATGAAGGTTGGAAATCCTCTCACTTGGAAGAAGGGCATACTTTTCTTCCAACGAAAGCACTGTCTACTCCTAAGCTGTGTCCTGGAAGCTACCACTGCCAGGGGCCACCTTCGCAACATGGCACAAAGGGTCTGTAGAGGTCATAATGGAGTGCCACAGAGCAGAGCACACCCTGCCCCAGACCCCAAAAGAAGAAAACGTGACTCCCCCCTCTCCAACTCCAACACTCGAATTCTTGTGTGACCCGCAAAGCCCAGGACTGATTTTCCTGCTACTCTGGCAAGTAGGAGCTTGGAGTCAGATTAATTTTATTTAGAGAGGAAGAAGTTTTAAAGTTTTGAAAGTACATTAAAAATAAAATAATGTGCTATTTCTCCTGGCCAGAATTGTAGAGTAAAATCTGCCACTCTCTGTTTAGTATGTGGAGTGGCGTAAATTTCTCTCATAGCTCGGGGGCTGCAAACACCACCTAGTGTGATGGTTCCCTCATCCAGGCCTGAGCAGAAGGTCTTACTCCTGGTGGCCGCCTTGAGCATGCACTTTGCCGGGCCCAACTCTGCTGCTGTCTCTGAGTGAAGAGGACTTCCCCTTCCCGGGACCCCCTGACAGGTGCAATGACCTAGGTTCACTGCACTTGTCTGTTTCATTGAGTTATTCTGTGAGGGCTGGAAGCTGCTGCACACACTGCACATGTATTCATCAAGATTTCACTGCTGCCCAGTGATGAAAGTCACCCTCTAGGGTGGCAGCAGGCCACAGAGAAGCAAATGTTCCGCAGCAGAGAGCCTGACAGAGAGAGAGTGCCAGATGGAGAGGCTGAGAGGCAGGGCTGCATGGTGGCCCAGGAGAGCTCCAAAGCTCCCCCAGGTGGCTTGCTGGGGTGTGAGGGCTCGGAGGACACACTGCTCCCTGGATAGATGCCCAGATGAGCAGGCCACTCCTCTGAGGCCGCCACCACTTAGCAAACTCCACATGTAGATAGGGACAGCACCAACCAATCTAAGGGGATATCTGGAGAGTGTTCTTAAAGCATAACATAAAATAAAAATAAAACTTTCATTCTCTAATTACAAAAGTATGTAGCTTTATAGGAAACGTGGAAAATACAGAAGACCAGACAGAAGAAAATTTAGAAGTCACTTGAAAGGAAAACACTATGGCATATGGATTTGCATCTATGCCCTGTTTCACCAGGTCTGACATCAGGTCATGGAGGCCAATTTTTTCCAGCCTAAAAAGACATATTAATTATGGAAATTCATAAACATTCATACAAATACAGAGAGTAATAGAGCAAACATTCAGAGTCTTGCCACTCAGGTCTCCATCTGCATGCTTTTTAAATTTTTAAATTTTTTAGTTGGAAATAATCCCAATGTGCATTTCCTGGGGATAGGGATATTCTCTTATTAATATACTACGTTAGGACAGTTGTGGCTTCTTACGTTGACACAGTGTTTTAATCTGCCATCCATATTCCAGTGTTGATGACCTAATAAAGTCCTTGGCTCCAATCTAGGGTGACATGTTGCATTTTGTTGTCGTATCTCCTTTGCTTGCTGTGGTTTGAATGTGTCCCCCCGAAGTTTATGTGTTGGAAACTCAATCCCCAGTGCAAAAATGTTGGGAGGACAACTAAATGCGAGGTGATCAGGCCATGGGAGCAGAGTGAATGGGGCCATGCCTCACTGGGGCAGGTTCATTATAAAAGGGGGAGTTGAGCCTTTTTCTCTCGCCCACGTGCTGCCTTCCTCCATGGGATGACACGAGAAGGCCCTTCCCAGCTGCTGGCCTCTCAGTCTTGGACTTCTCAGCTCCCAGAATGGTGAGCAAACCAATTTCTGCTCATTATAAATGACTTAGTCTGTGGTATTCTGTTATAGCAGCACAAAATGGATTAGAGACTTCTGTCAAAGCTAGAACATTCTCACCGCCTTTTCTGTTTTCTAGCATGTTGACATTTTTGAAGAATACAGTCCTCTCTGCTTCTTTTAAATAGAACATTCCTCACCTTGTATTTGACAGATGTTCCCTTGTGTTTGGATTACAGCCGGGCATTCTTGGCTGGATTACTGCATTGGTGACAGGCACCTGTCCCTCACTGGTAATGTTCATTTTAAACCCCAAACTGTGGTCTACTTTCTCCACTGTATGATGACTATTCTATTCCTCCCCTGCAACCAATATACTTCTTGTCATCAAAATTTCCTCTTAGATTTAGTGGCTATTGATAATTCTTGCCTGATCCAACCTTTATCTGAGGGGGCGGGTGGGAGGAAGTAGACATCTAGGCAAAGAAACACATATTGGAAGGCCCAGGGAGAGAACAGAAGCTGGTGTTTTTAGGGAGCCTAAAATGTTTTTGTCTGGCTGGATTTTCCAGAGCGAGAAGGGAAGAAGAAGGAGTGATTCAAGAGGTAAACGGGGGCCCGATCACAAAGGGTTTCACAGGAGAGCAGAAGCTCTGGTTTTCTTCTCAGGAATGGGGAGTCACTGTGCAGTGAAGGACTCCCCAGAGGATGTGCTGAGGGGGCAGGCAAGAGGCAGTGAGAACAGTCAGGAGGCCTTGCCACTGTGCTGGCTGAAGACAGAGTTATTCATAAAACAAGGGCAGAAACCTCAGCAATCAAGGAGGCCGTCATTAGGCCAAGGTTGGCTGAAACCTTGACCTGCAGATTTACAGTGCAGCCAGGAAACATCTCTTTTTCTGGGAAACCCTGAGCGTAACATTTCCTCTCTTGCCAACCTGGTGTTGCCATCAGCACTTCTGTTGCATAAACAGGTAGGGCATGTGTTGGGGGAGGTGGTGGTAGTTAATTTCCCGATGATCTAGAGCTACAATATAGCCGGTGGCGTCTCTTTTCCCTGCCCCCGTCAAACTATGAGCTTTCATCCTGCAGAGCATGAGAGGCCCTGGCCCGAGGCTCCAGCACCACTGTCCCACTCTGTGGGGACAGCAGTAGGTGTGCTCCAGGGGTGAAGGGGGTGGCCCTCAGAGATGTCTTTGGGAGTGAAATGACAGGGCTGTGCCTCAGGAGAATGAGGTGGGCACTGGGCCCACTGGTGAATAGAGAAGGTCAGTTGTATCTGGGAGCTGGCACTTCACTCATTCATCTGCTTAGTCAGCCAGTACATATTTATTGAGCTCCTACTGTGTGTCAGGCACTGCGGGAGGTGCTGGCGTGCAGCAGTGCAGAAAACATCATGGGAGGAGAGGCGGGAGGTGTGTGCTAGGACATGGTAAATGCAGGTAAGGAAGGGTACCAGCCTGTCCGTCAGCCCCTTGTTCTGCTGATCCTCCACCTTAGTCTGTCTCCACCCACTGGCTGCTGCCGCCTGATCCTAGTATCTGGAGATGAATTGCTTAAGGCTTCCCAGAATGTTCCCTTTATTCATGTTCTATCTGTAACAGTTAGACCACACATTTCACCATGATGTAAAACCTTTCATGCCAGGGACCCCCAAGGCTTGGGATCTGATTTGGGGATCTACTTTTGGGATAGTCTAAATACAAGAGAGACTGGGCCTTCTGTAATGTGGTCCAGCCCTTCTGGACACAAAGGACCCCAGCAGGTGATGGCGGGAGAAAGTCCAACTTGGTAAGGAGACAGGCTGAGGCAGGAGTAAGGGAAAACTACCCAGGTCCAAAGCGTCACATTGCCCTGCCACGTTGCCCCGCATGGCTGCCATTATACCTTGGTTGTATCAGTGACTCCATTCACACACGTATTTTTCGAACACATATTACACAGAAAACACACACAGTGAACTATGGAAAGCTAAAGATGAATAGGTAAGGAATGGAAGGAGAAGTGAGCCAACCGAGGGCCAGACACTGTCTTCCCAGCCCTACTATCCCAGGGCCACCCTGAATCAAGCGCAGCCCACCCATGTGACCCACTCCAGCTTTAGCTCATCGTGTCATCCCAGAGCCCTCGGTCCTACAAAACCAGGGCATTTCTCAGAGCTGTGACTCACCATTGCTGGCGATTTTGGAAATGCACTGATGACAGGCTTTCTCCAGACCTCCTGGCATTGTTCTTGCTCGCTCTTCAAGTTCTGAGGATCAAAAATAACTCATTAGAAAGGATGCTGGAAGGATTTACTCAGCACCAATAACCGACCCCCTCTGTGCATGTCGGTGGTGGCCCAGTCAGCTCGGGGGGCCTGGGTGCCAGTGTCGGTGCTGCTCTTCCTGCAGGTGTGGCCTTGTTTCGTGGTTAGCGGGGCTGAGAAAAAGACCCTCGATTCCACAGGTGAGGGAACCAAGCTCAGAGAAGTTAAAGAGGCTTGCCCAGTGATACCAGCCAGGAAGACACAGACTGGAGGGGGAGATGGTAATAGCTCTCACTTGCTGAGCAATGGCTGCAGCTAGGCGTTGTATTAACTCTTTAAATAGGTCATCTCATATTTAATCCCACAACAATCCAATCTAGGAAGTGTTATTGACTCCGTTTTACAGATGGCATCTTAGATACCCAGAGAGCTTAAGATTCATCCTGAGGGGCCAGGCAGCGGTGGCTCACGCCTGTAATCCCAGCACTTTGGGAGGCCGAGGCGGGTGGATCACGAGGTCAAGAGATTGAAACCATTTTGGTCAATATGGTGAAACCCCGTCTCTACTAAAGATACAAAAACTTAGCTGGGCATGGTGGTGCGTGCCTGTAATCCCAGCTACTCAGGAGGCTGAGGCAGGAGAATTGCCTGAACCCAGGAGGCGGAGGTTGCGGTGAGCCGAGAACACGCCATTGCACTCCAACCTGGGTAACAAGAGCAAAACTCCATCTCAAAAAAAAAAAAAAAAAAAAAAAAGATTCACCCTGAGACCAGAGCTGGCAACTGGCAGAGCCCAAACTTGATCCAGGTATGGACCCAGGTACAGAGCAAGAGCCCTCACTTCCCAGCATAGCTGCTGCACCCTCCCAGGGCCCGAGCAGGAAGGGAGCCATGGGCTTGACCAGAGCATCCTGGGCTGAGACCCGAGCAGCCTGGAGTACTACCCCAGCTCCCCTGTGGACCTGCTGTGGTCTGAGCAAGCTTGTTGACACTGTGAGAAAGGGCTTTCCTTCCTTGGAAGAAATAGCCATAAACATTTTAAATCCACCAAAAAACTCCAGCTCATCAAGACAGCAAATTTTCCTCGCCAGTGAAATGAGGTAGCCCTGTAAAGTCACTCCAGCCCCAGCATGGGCCTCCAGGCAGGAGCCACACGGCCCACAGCTTCTCTCTGCAGCTGATCCACAGCTAATGCACAGGGTGATTTAGCTGAGATCCAGGGTTTCTATTCCCCATCACTGGGGTTCTACGACATGCCATGCTCAGAACCCGGCTTTGTGTCAGCAGGACCTTTACAGCAGGAGGCAGTGTGACCAGAGTCAGTTCCCAACCAGAGGCACGTCACCAGCACCCTGCCAAGATCCACATTGTTAGCTCATTTAGTCTCCCCAGTTCTTCCAGAGGCAGGTACGTCCCATCTTACAGACAAAACCAAGATTCGGATCAATTTGTTTGCTCAAAGTCACCCAGCTAGTAAGTAGTAGAATTGGGGTTTGAAATGAGGCCTCCATGACTCTATCTGAAACCTGGACTTTATGCCTTCAAAGCCCACAATCTCTCCACTTCACCCCAGAGCAAGAATACAGAAGAAACCTGGAAAGGAAAGGGTTCCCAAAGTGAGTCAGGGACTAAGCCAGGAGATCACGGTGCCTTCCGGGTCAGATCTGTTATGCCTGAGCCTATTTAACTAGGCAAAGATTCTTATCCCCATTTTACAGATGAAGAAACTGAGGGTCAGAAAAGTGAAGAACTCACCCAAGATCACACAGCCAGATTGGGATCCAGGTGTCTTGAGATCTGCCAAACTTGAGGTGCCTACTCTCTGTTAACCAGAACCGACTTTGACAGTTTTGACTGCAGTGAGATAATGGGACAGAGTGGCAGGGCTGAGCACCCAAGATTTTCTGACCCCTCCTCCGATCCCTGAGAATCCCAAATGCAGTGCTTGGGATTCCAGGGTCCCTCTGCTGTTTCTGCCTCCTGACACAGCCTCCCTGCCCACTCTTCTCCTGGAAGCAGCTGTGGGGGATGCATGTGACTCTTTGTCTCCCTGGCACACAGTAGTCTTCAGTATGTTTAATGAATAATTCCATGAATTACTATTCAAATATCTCTTCCCAGGCTCCATTTTCCCCCACAATGTCCTTGCAAAAACTATGGCTGTGGTGTCCTTACACACAGAAAATCAGGAGCACTGCAGCCCTGGGTAACCACAGCCTCCTGCCCTTGACTTGGCATTCTACCCACCAAGGTGAAATTAGGCCTAATTCTCTGGCCTAATGGGGTTTGCCAGGTGCACATCCTTCTGTTAAACAGCGAGTAGGCCCCAAGCCGTGGACAAATGGCTACTGTACGGATTACAGATTTCCTGTTGATGTCCACACTTCATGAGGTTGATTGCCACAGGGGCATCACAGAAGCTAGGCAACTTAAAACCCTGCCTGAGGGCCGGGCTCAAGCCTGTAATCCCAGCACTTTGGGAGTCCGAGGTGGGTGGATCATGAGGTCAAGAGATCGAGACCATCCTGGTCAACATGGTGAAACCCCATCTCTACTAAAAATGCAAAAAAAAAAAAAAATTAGCTGGGCATGGTGGCACATGCCTGTAATCCCAGCTACTCAGGAGGCTGAGGCAGGAGAATTGCCTGAACCCAGGAGGCAGAGGTTGCAGTGAGCCAAGATCACGCCATTGCACTCCAGCCTGGGCAACAAGAGCGAAACTCCGCCTCAAAAAAAAAAAAAAAACCTGCCTGAAAAACAGTCCTCCTGAACGCAATGATTAGCTCAGTTGTCTAAAGGGACCACAGCCCATCAAGCCCCCTAAAGGCCTGGAAGGTCAGTCCCTTTCTTCACTCTTCTTAGGGAAAACAGAGGTGTGCTTCATGTCACAGGGAGGGTGTGTACTTTACATCTTCCAGCCACGAACCAAAGCATTTTCCTCCTGCATCACAGAAGGGATAGAACAGAGGGAGGAGAAATATGAGCCACCTCTTTACACTTCCATGGTGGAGTTGCCACTGTTTTATAAAACTTCCTTCGAAGTATGCTGAATGGTTTCTATCAGTGCCTATAAACCGAGACACTCCAGTCTTCAAATCCACAGCAGCTTTGCAGAAACCATCTGTGTCACATTATAACAACACATTTCTATCTTGGGCCATTCACAGGGGTGAGAGGCACACACTTTAGTCTATGAATCCTGAAGAACAATGTTCTACCACAAAAAATAATATAGGGCTGCATATACATTTTTTTTAATTCAAATGTTCTAAATTGACTGATCTTTTTAACTGCAAATAAGGGTAGAAACATCAATTTTAAAAACAACGATATCTTTATTGATAATGTCAGACCAAATGAGGTGGCAGCCAATAGAACACACCGACACAAGGCGCAGGTATTAGATTCATTTTATAAATGAGGCGACTCTTATTCCTTCAAGCTTGTTATTTTCATAAACTGGCAAGATGGATGAGAACTAAAAAAAGAATGCTATGTTATTAATTCTATAGCACCTTAAAGAATGTTCCCTAAGAGACAGGTAGCAGTGGCAGCAGAACTCAGCTTTGGTACCCACCCAGAAAAGGAAGATGGAATTCCCAGGCCGAGATCATATTACCCAAATGCCGGCTGACAAACTTTGCATATTGTGTTCAACTTCCCTTACAAGGAATAAAATGTTAAACACACACTCACACACACACATCATATGACCTTGTGCATGTAATAATGTCTGCAAATCTACAGAAACACACAGAAGCCAGGCACGGTGGTTCATACCTGTAATCCCAGCACTTTGGGAGGCTGAGGCAGGCGGATCACGAGGTCAGGAGTTCAAGACCAGTCTGACCAATATGGTGAAACCCCGTCTCTACTAAAAATACAAAAATTACCCAGGCGCAGTGGTGGGCATCTGTAATCCCAGCTACTCAGGAGGCTGAGGCTGGATAATCACTTAAACCCAGGAGGCAGAGGCTGCTATGAGCCAAGATCATGCCACTGCACTCCAGCCTGGGCAACAGAGTAAGACTCCATCTCAAAAAGAAAAAAAAAACATAGAAAACTATCAGAAGCATAAACATTAAACCACTCTGAATAATTGTTCCTTGTGAAGGCAGGTACAGGGATATGGGCCACTGGGGCTGGGGCAGGGAGGAATGTGCCGGAAGCAGGCGTGGGATGTATATATTTTTTTTTTTTAAATAGAGATGGGTTGTCACCATGTTGGCCAGGCTGGTTTCGAACTCCTGATCTCAGGTGATCAACCCATCTCGGCCTCCCAAAGTGCTGGAATTACATGTGTGAGTCCACTACGCCCATCTCAAGGGATGTATTTTTATTTCCACTGTATACCTAACTATTGCCTTGACTTTTCCCGTTAGCAGGTTTTACCATTACAATTTTAAGCTTCTGTTTTAAAACCTCTTAAAATTTAAGAAGTATTATTTGAAATGAAAAGTAGTTTGCAGTTCCAAATGTCCAGAGATTTTTAAAAAGTTGCATGTAGGGGATAGATAAACAGAAAGAAGCAAGTCCCCTAGGGAGCAAACAAAAAGGAGAGAGATTATGTGATGGTGGTAGGTAATTATTTTTTCTCTTTTGTAATATTTTCTTTATAAATTACAAAAGCAACTTCACAGAAAAATTAGATTACAGAGAAAAGACAATCATTAGTCATTATAAACAACTGCGGACCTTCCAACCCAACAACGGTTAGCATTTGGGAGCTTGTAAGTATATGTGTATATACACATGCAAGTGTGCATGTACACACATTTCACATGGTTGCAGTATTCAGGTGCATTAAGTGAACACTTCACATTTTGACAGTAAGCATTCTTTCCGTTACCATTTGGTCTTCAGAACTCTCATTTTCGCAGCTGAATTACATTCTACAGAGTAGGCTACAACGAACTATATTTCTCTATATCTTGTTTTTGGATATTTACTTTTCACTCATAACTAATCCTAAGAGACATTTCTCTCTGTGAAAAGTGCTTTGTTTCAGGCATCACATAGATCTCTTGGAATAGTTATTTACTTAAAAAGCATAAGCAATTTTTGGGGTTTGAGGTAAAATTGACTTCTAAATGAGCTGTATCTATTTCCAGGGCCACCAGCAATTATGAGAGTGCCAGTTGCACCACACCGAACCACCACTGGGTGGCAGAAAGGCTAATGCATTTTTATTACTCTCATAGGCAAAAGTGGAAATGAATTATTTTAATTTACATTTTTGATTGCCAGTGATATTGCCAATTCTTTCTAGGCTTGTTTCTCACTTGTATGTTCCCCTTTGTGATTTAGTTTTTACGACCCATGATATGGATTTATTTCAATTCAGATCAAGCCCACGAAGAAAGCTGCAATTTGAGGAAATAGTGAATCTGCTTTTTGATTCACAGAACTCCCTGTGTGAATTTGCAGATTCAAATATGCTACAAAAGACCTATTCACTATTATGGTGGGGACTTGAACAACTCACAAAACTCAATTGCATGTTCCTTGGAGCCGTTTGAAGTGGTAGCTCTTCCAAGAGAGGGTCCCTCAACTGCAGGAGATGCCCAATAGAGCAAACACATAGTAATGATGGATTCATGTCAATGCAATTCATTTAATGGATTTCTATACCTCCTAAGTACTAAGAAAATGCACATTTTTTCTTATTTGATAGAGTTTTCTTATTTGTTAGAAATCTGAAACAGGAAGAGATTATGGTAACAGGCTGGGCAGTGCCTTCTCTCCAGTGTGATCAAGCAGTGACTTAGAAGTTCATCCTTGTGCATGCTGTGATAGGACGGTGTGTCTCACACCTAGAAGGCTCTTGATAGTAGCCCCTGATGCTTCCTCTCCTGGCAGCTGAGTGATAGTAAACGGTGCCATGGGAATTAATCAATACTTGCCAAATGACATGCTCAATGCACTTTCAATTCTTAGTCCAATTAATACATCTCAGTAGTTCTCAACCAGAGGTGATCTGACCCCCAAGGCACATTTGGCAATACAGTATGTGGAAACATTTTTTAATAGTCATGGCTGGGGCAGGGCTGTGGATAAAGAGACTAGAGATGCTGCAAAACACCCTACAAGGAGCAGGGTAGTGCCCAAAAACAGAGTAGGACTAGGTCTGAGAAACCTTCTATGTCTAATGTTCCCAGTTTTAGAGTTCCAATTTGTAAAATTCTACTTTATTTTTAACCTCTGATTTGTTTCATGCATCAACAGTGAACATATATATGTGACTATGATTTTACTGATTGGCTTGGTAAATTATTCCTAAATCAGCTGTGAGGAGTAACGCACTGCTTGGTTTTGAATAACATTTAATATTAAACATTAATCATCCCCACACCTGTTTCTTCCAAGCAGATGTTAACTCGCATTGTTGAATATTTCCAACAAACATTTCGGGTGCTCAGGACACAGTCCTCTCCTATCTGCAGCTCTCTACGTAACCTGTGCTGCTTTCTCTCCTAGCTATGCCTGCATGCACGAATTCAGCCGAGGTTACTGATACCTACTGTGTCCCAGAGTCATTCCACAACCTCCCTAGGATGCCTTCATTGTTTGGCTCCTAGAAAATGGAAAATGCACTTCCTTTGAGCTCTATCACCCCTTTAAATTGACCAAGTCAAAGCCACTTGCTCAGAGCCCCAACAAGTAAAACGTGGAGGTGAAGTCTGTGGGGCCCCCCTCGCTGTCCTGCAGCCGCCAGGTTGTTTCTAACAGTCCCACAAACTTGCTTTCACCTGCAGTTCATTATTCCTTTACGATTATCCTCTTCTTTCAAAAACCGATTTCCCTTAGCCTCAATGAAGATTGTTTTCTTTCCCTCCACAAAATCAAAAATAGCACTTCCATAATACAATCATTTTCTTTCCAGAAAGCATAAATCAGCACAGCGGCATCTTCCTAGGAATGATTCCAAGAAACCCTCTGCTAGGGACTGTCTCTCCTAACTTCACAGGCTGCCCAAGGCTGCCGGAACTCACCTGAGCTGAGCCGAGTGGGATTCAGAACCAGGCAGCACTCAGCCCCTCTGGGGTCCCGGTGTCCAGGGCTGACTCTGTGGGGCTCCTCTTCACTTGGGGCTCCCACTCCCTGTCGCACGCTTTCTTTCTCCCTTTCTCTCCTGAAACGCAACAGCAACTCGTGGCTTTTCCTCTAAGGGGCGGGTTCTCTCCATTTCCCACTCCCACGTGTGGGGAGAGCAGCCCCACCGCCGGCTCATACCCCTGCAGTGTTCCCGGGGCCCGCCGGGGGGCAGCAGAGCGACCCCGGGAGCTGTGGAAAGATGGCCGACCCCTTGGAGTTAGGAATTCCCGCGGGCAGTCCCCTTAGACACTAAACCTAGGGATTTACTTCTGGTGCGAGCCCCTTTTCACCCCTTGTCCTCCCTGCAGTGCTGGTGGCATATGAGGGAGGGTGGACCCAGCAGCGGCTGCTTAGGAAAGTGAGTGAAAGTACTCAACGTGGGCTGAGGATATGAGGGGCTCTATGGACTTGAGGACTGCCACGTAGAAAAGGGATTCAGTTGATTCCAGGTCGTTCTAGACGCCAGCTCTGAGACAGAGTGAAGCTACAGGGAGGCCAAATAGTGCCCCATGTCATCAACTTTCTCACAGTGGCCTTCCTAGTCCTGAAGCAGGCTGCTGTGTGACGCTGCTGTGTGTTGGTAGCAAGCACCTAGTAGCAGAAGTTCTCAACTGCTGATTTGTAAGAAGGGCCAGAGATTCTTCATTGAAATGCGGATTCCTGTACCACCTCCCAAAGATTCTGAATCTGTAGGTCCAGCCTGGGCCCAGGAATCTGCAGTTGAGATTCTGGTAAGCCCCCTGCAGGTGCTCCATGGACCACAGTTTGAGAAACTGGCGCCACATGACATTAAAGGCATTCTCCAACCCTGACATTCAGATTTTTGTTGTCATTTTGGTGGAAAAGTCCGGTCTACTGAGGAGGGACTGGGGTGAGGTTAAGAACAGAGCCTATGATGCAAAATGTAAGGAGCTGCTCCCTCAGAGGCCACCCCTGCACTTGCACGGCCCTGGGAGGACACCTCCTTAAGCCTTGTGCCTCAGGCCACTTCTCTGCTCACTCTAGGGCTGGCCCTGCCATTCTCCCAGTCCTGAATCCAAGCTGACCACTTCACACCACAGGACAGGGCGGGGCAGAGGAGCAAGGGGAGAGGGCGTACAGTTACAGTCACGAGCCACATAACAATGTTTCAGTCAATGATGGACCACATCGATGGTGGTTCCTTAAGATTATAATGGAACTAAAAACTTCCTATCACCTGGTGATGTCACAGTAGTTACAATGTTGTAGTGCAACACATTATTCATGTGTTTGTGGTGATGTTGGTGTAAACAAATCGACTGCACTGCCAGTCATATAAAAGTCTAGCACGCACAATTGTGTATAGTACGTACTTTACAGTAATAAAAAACAATCAAGTCCCTTCTTTATATATTGATTATATTATACTTTTTATCATTATTTTAGAGTGTACTCCTACTTATAAAAAAAATGGTTAACTGTAAAAAGCCTCAGGCGTGTAGGCTAGGAACAATAGGCTGGACTTATGACAGTCTAATGCCTGAGGGTTGAAGAGTTTCATGCCAAAACCTTCTCCCATCCTCACCCTCATGAAACTGGTCCCTGGTGCCAAAAAGGTTAGGGAGCACTGGGTGTGTAGTAGGCTATACCATGTGAGCTTGTGTGAGTACATTCTATGATGTTCACACAATGGCCAAATTGCCTAATGACACATTTCTCAGAACATATCCCCATTGTTCAGTGATGCATGATGGTACTTGAATCTTATTTCACATTAAGTGAGCAGAATCAGAGTGACTATGAGCAGTGAGGTCAGAGCCTTAAGGCTTCCCTGCTACAATGGTGGCATCTGGGAACACACAGTGATCAAGAGCCTTCCCTGGACGTGTCCGAAAAGGGACAGTAGTCCTTTCTGAGCACATTTTAGCCTAGACATCAAAACAAAGAAAATTTCAGGTTATGGGGCAGTCTTCCTGGGAGTTCAGGAAGGGAGAAAATAATGGCAGGTCATTCAGGAGCTTTTCCACATGTCCCCAAAGATGCAGCAAAACATCAAGGAATATTTTTCTGCCAAACCAGACAACTGTATTTGTGAGTGCAGAAACAGGAGATTTTTTTGTGGGGGAGAAAGTAGGAGTGTTTGGAAAGTGATTATGAGACTCCAAAGCTAATGATAAATGATAGTCATAATAATCACTGTGTCAGTTAGGAAAACAGGGAATATGATACGGGGAATTAGTTACAAGAGCCATGGAAGAGCTGAAAAATCACACACGATGTAGGTGGAGTAACCCAGAGATTAACAATTGATAATGGAAGCTGCTGCTAACTCTAGAGATGTGAGCGGAAAACCACCACTGGAAATGCTGCCCAAAGCAAAGCAGGTGCGATTAATACCCCCACTTCACAGATGAGTAGCACGAGGTCCAGAGAGATTAAAGGCACACGGCTACGAAGCGTGTAATGAACTTAAACTCAGGCCATGTGATACCGAGTCCACATGTGGCACCACTACACTATTCCCATATGAATAAAGGGCACATTGGGGGAGATGATAGTAGAATTGAGTGAAAGTTGAATTCAGAGTATAAATTTTTAAATGCATGTTTTTAGTTGAGGTGGTTCTCCTGGTAAAAGTGAGTTCATTCATTCATTGAACGAATACTGCTGACTCCAAGCCAGGTACTGTGAGTAAAAAGATTACTTAATAAAATCAAATGTACCCCATAAGGAATTTTGATTTTGATGCAAAAGTAGTGAGTTAATGAGCATGTCCCTGAGTTTAATTACAAATGCAACTGTGAGTTAATGAGGGTAGGCCTGACTTCTTGATGGAAGCTGTAGAAATGGAGATACTAAAGTTGCCCAAAGACCAGGTTGTGCACCCCACAAGGAGCAATCAGAAAGCCGAGGGACATTGATGAGTGTTCACTCTCACTATTCCCCAAGACTGCGCAAAAGCTTGTCTTTGTTTCCATCTTTGCTGTGTGATATTCCCCAACAAATAGTTCTGTGTAACTATCCTCATTCTTTGCATGCTTTTTTGGAAGTTTTCCATTCTGATGTCACTCTTCTATTTGAGTCACCTTTTCTATTTTTACCATCTACTCATCCTGATGGCTTCCTAATTTGGGAGAAAACCTTCAGGGTCCCTCACTTTAACTTTTACCTGAGTCAAAAAGCATTTCAATAGACGTTTTCATTTTTTTTTTTTTTGACTTTTCACAGTATTTTAATTTTCCTGAGGACAATTTAAGAAAAAGAGAAACAGAATGCGTGAGTCCTGAAAGTAGTTCATAGTCCAGAAGAAGAATAATTAAACCACAGGCAACCCCTGGCCCGTGCTGCAAGCTTGAGGCCATTACGCTAGAAAATAAGCCAGCCACAGAAAGGCAGATGCTGTATGCCTCCACTCACATAAGGCACATAGAACAGTCTACTCTCATAGAAGCGGAAGTCTATGGGTGCTGGAGGAAGGGGAGCATGGGGAGCTAGTGTTTAAGGGATGTGGCATTTAGTTTTGCAAGATGAAAAAGATTGGCTGCACAACAATGTGAATATTCTTAACACTACTGAACTGGACTTTTTTCAGTGGTTAAGACAGCGAGTTTTATGTTATGTGTATTTTAGCACAATTTAATAAGTAAACAAATCCAGCATCTGAGAGGCTGGGAAGTCAAGCCCTAACATTCCAAGGGTCCTGCGGAACCGGGCAGTTGTCAAAGGTGCTCTGGAAAATCCCGGGGTGTCCATCAGCCCCGATTTCAGCGGCCGCAGAGGCCCTGTGGGAGAGTGCACGGACACGCCACTGTCAGGTTTCCCGCCTCCACCTTTGTAATCGGGTCAAAGGTGGAGCCTTAGAGTGGGCATGAGGGAAGGAATAACTCTCCTGTCTTCGTGTCCTTAGCCTGGGCTCCAAGCCCGAGGGTCTAAGTCCCCAGGGGCGAGTTTTAGGGTTGGGAAAATTCACAGCGCCACCTACTGGCAGCTGTTTGCCCTCCCTCCCCGCCGCCTCCTGCTGTCTGGCCTCTCAGTGGGACCCGGGCGTCTCTTTCAGGAACAGGCTGGACAAGGTGGCTCACATTTGTGACCGAGCACATTGGGAGGCCGAGGCAGGATGATCCTGAGTCCAGGAGTTCGAGACAAGCTCGGGCAACGTAGTTAGACTAAAAAATAAAATATTAGCTGGGCGTGGGGTGGTGTGCCTGTAGTCCCAGCTACTTGAAATGTTCCCCTGTGGAAAAAAAAACCCTTCCGTAATTTTGTTTGAGATTGCACTAAAGTTTATACATAAATTTGGGGAGAATTGGCATTCTACTGTCATTATCAACTACAATTTTAAGTTGATTCTCTCTCCCCCTCTTTATTCGGTACTAAGCAAAGTCATCTATAAGTAATGATGATTGGCCGGGCGCGGTGGCTCAAGCCTGTAATCCCAGCACTTTGGGAGGCCGAGGCGGGTGGATCACGAGGTCAAGAGATCGAGACCATCCTGGTCAACTTGGTGAAACCCCGTCTCTACTAAAAATACAAAACATTAGCTGGGCATGGTGGCACGTGCCTGTAATCCCAGCTACTCAGGAGGCTGAGGCAGGAGAATTGCCCGAACCCAGGAGGCGGAGGTTGCGGTGAGCCGAGATCGCGCCATTGCACTCCAGCCTGGGTAACAAGAGCGAAACTCCGTCTCAAAAAAAAAAGTAATGATGATTTCTTTCTAATATTCATACCTGTTTTCTTTGCCTAATAAATTGGCTGTTATTTACAAAACGGTGAATGCTACCCACTTTGCCTTGTTCTTTAATAATGTCTTCGGGGATATTTTGAAAGTATTTAAAAGCTAGACAAGGGCCCTGAACAGTCAAGAGTAGAGGCATCAGTCAGCTGGTACACTTACATCAATGTGAAATTATAGGCACACAGTAAGCCCTGAGTGTTTTATCATCAAGCATGTTTGCTGATTTGTAATAAATTTA